TCGCTAATAACATTCACATTTTCAAATCACTTTCTAATCCAGTATGCCACGGGAACTTAGTGAAGATCTAAGATGGAGAGTCGTTTATTTGAATTTAAACGGTTATAATAATGAAGATATTACTATGCTTCTTTTTATAAGCGAATCTTCTGTACGTCGAATATTAAAGACTTTTTAAAAGTGGGATGCATCAAAAATCCATTTAAAGGACAACCTGGGCGCAGGAAAATCTTTAACCATAAAGAATTGGACCTATTAAAACGTATCGTTAAAGAGAAAGTAGATTTATATCTTGATGAGCTTGCAGTTGAGATAGCAAACTATACGCAAAAGCAAGTTTCTCTATCGACCATATAGTGATCATTGCAATACTGTGGTATCTCCCACAAAAAGGTAACCAAAAATTTATAAAAAAAAAAAGTATTTTTGTTAGAAATAGAAGTCATTAATGATTTTTTTTTAATTAGTTACACAAGATAGCCTCTGAGAGAAACGAGTGTTTGCGGAGTGCTTACCTGGCCAGTATTAGAGCCAATTTTCGTCTGAACCAGTTGATCTTTATAGATAAATCTGGAAAGGATGAACGCAGTGTAAATCGATATTATGGGTATGCACATTAATACTCGAGCACGAAAAAAGATTACTTTTATTCGTGATAAAAAGTACACCATTTTACCTGCTCTTTTGCTAGATGGTTTTTTGGCTGTTGAAATTATGGAAGGTAATTGTGATAAAGAGCGGTTTTGTGAATTTATTTTGTTGCAAGTAGTAAGTTAATTAAATTTTATTGCTACATATTTAAATATTTAATTATTATTATTAAAATATATATTTAATAATATAGATTCTCGTGATGAATCCTTTCTCTGAAAAGAATAGCGTTATTGTTCTTGATAACGCAAAGATTCATCAAAATGAAACGTTTGTTAATATAGTGGAAGAACTTGGATGCCATGTAATTTTCCTACTGCCTTATTCTCCTGACTATAATCCTATAGAAACTGCCTTTAGTAATATTAAAAGTTGGATTAAGAGGAATAGGGACTTTATGAATGCTGCGAATGATCCATTTTATGCATTCATAGTAGCATGTGCACAGATTACATCCGAAATGGTAGTAAACTTTTTTCATGAATCGGATTATTTAGAATAAGTTTTCATTGGGTTATTACTCATAATTATTACTGTATTATTTGGATTAATATGCTTGAAACATGAACAATCCTGCGTATTGATAATCAATCTAGTAACAGCCTGGATAAATAAAGAAATATATTAGATTATACGTATTCAATTAGAAATTAATACACAAAAGAAAAATCGATACTTAACGTGCTTATGTGATACAATAATACATAAAAAATAATATAATTAGATAATGGTTAGTAGTAGTCAATTGTGAGAATATAAAAAAAAAGAAATAAATAATAATAAAATACTTGCTTTTTTGCTTATACTAAAGGATACCTTTTTTTTCGCAACTTGTTATTGAGTAACAGACATTGAGGTTAATTAATGATTGCAACTATTTAAGCTCATATATTGCAAATTATATTATAAGAAAATACAGTCTTTCAAATATCACTTGAACCAGATACGTATCATGGATTTCTCCATTTGACTCTGTATACGTAAAATATATTGAACCCAATTATGAATACATAAAGAAATCTAATACATACATACGTTGTAAAAGGCAGGATCGCCCTTCCCAAAAAAGTTGTCGTTGCAATCAGTTGTACGAATTCCTGGAATTCAGTTAATTCCCAAGAATAGTAGGAAAAATCAGAATAGTGAGAAAGATGAAAAATTAGAATAACTAGAAAAATTAGAATTCGCGTTATTCTTGTATATGTAAAATTTATTATATAAATGGAGATAAAACATAACTTTGTAAAGTTCAATTTGAATAGTTCCACAAAAACCTTTGAAATAAGAGTAGAAGTGTTTGTCTTTAACCCATGGTATCCTTCTTGTTAAAAATCGTTCGTTGTTATAGTCTTTTCTTATCCCTATGACTATTGTCGTATTTAGTAAAAGAAAGAAACAGTATTAGTAATACAACCCTTATATATTAAACTCGATCCTGATCAAGTTTGTGACAACGTCATTTTATTTGATTCGTGATCCTGTGATACCGTGACCTTGTACCACATTCCGATTAGCCAAATTCGATCACAAGACCCAGCCACAGTACCTACGAAAAGAATTATAGTACTAACGAAAGTATTAAGAAAAGTAGAATACTTATTAAGGAAAGATAGTAGAACACTTATCTGAGTCTAACACTATCTCTACCAACCAAATTAACTCTGGTTACTCGGATCAAGTCTTTCCATGCCTCGATTGTTGCCTTACCAATATTAAGGCTTGGTTAAAGTAGTTTTAGTATTCTGGATAGTTTTAAGTTATTATTTTTATAGTGAGCAGAGTAAATATCGACCTAGTAATTTTTCCGACGCAGCCCACAAATTTCTAATTTTTACAATGTATGTACGTATAAAAAGGGTTATCTGCATAATATGAACTACCTCTTTATAAGAACGGGATAACCGAAAATGATAATAAACGAATGTTTCATGTTCGTCATGTATAATATATGACTCGTGCTAATAAATCAATACTAGCGTTGAAGAGGATTTAATGTGATTTGCAATTACGAAAGAGGCAAATGACTAAATGAATATAAAGATACAAGTAGATGTATAACTGTTTATTAATAAACCTTGAGTTACTGTATGAAAACACGATTACTCTAATTAATATTCGAGTGGAAAGCACTGCTGATTCTTGAGAAAATAACGGTGATACTTATATATATCGTGAACTAATGGTAATTACTAATAATATACAGCAAATATAACATGATAAAATGGTCTAATGTAAAAGAAATAAAAAAATATTCTATATACATGCCAAATATGCCAAATATAACAGATACCAATAGTATCTCGTGTAACTGCCAGGTAATAACTAACGATCTTGCTCATGTGTTTCATGAACATTCATGTACATTTTCTAGGTTACAGTCCCATAATACCTCTCTATTGAAAAAATATAACAGTTTTCAGATGAATTTAAAAGTTCTGAATATCAAGTTTTTTTTAAAAAAAAATTTTTTTTGACAATAAATTAAGTCAAATATTAGTTTATTTGAATAAATTTTTAGAAATAAAATATACTTTTAATGAAGACTTTTAGCACCCTTAGGTGTACTATAATACCTGATCTTCCTTTATATTATGCTCTTCTAATAATGGCTATAAGAGTTTATTCTTATATTATCCCCTGGCCAACTCTATCTCTATAACTTTTTCATATAATTATTTCTACTAAACATATCTATTTAATTTAAATAATTGAGCATTATTCTATTTAATCTTAAATATCAAAACCATGCATAAAATAAAAGCTTCATTTTAAAATAGATACATGAAAGTTATGTTACATAGATAGCAGGGATAAATCAGTTGCATCCTATGTAGTTGGATATATGCAAAATTTTGCAGTAAAAGTACAGATAACCGCGGCCGATTATACTTACTGCGCAAAATTCACTTATACCTAATTGCCCAGGATATAACTATTATTTATAAAGGAAAATCGAATATTATGGTATACTTAAAATTTACTAATAGGAAAAATTTTTATGAAAAACCTATTTATTTGCAAGATTTACTAAAATAGCATAATATTTGACTTACTATCTAATGATAAAAGAAAAAACTTTAAACTTAAAAAAAACTTGATATTCTAATCTTTAGAGATTGTACCTGTCAAAAAAAATTTATCCGAATATTATTCAATTACCTGGTTATGCAGATAATTTATTATAACTATCTAATAAAAATATCTACTTGGATACAATCCCTACTAAACTTCCAAATCCGTTAAAAAAATATGCATACATACCACAAAACCCAGGCCTCGAAATTACATATTAATATTTTTTTCCTGCCTGTTTTATATTTTTTCACTACCCAATTTTGATAACTCCTAATTCAATTAATTCCGAATCGCTTAAATCCTTAATTGTATTTATGGTTATTTCCTCCCATTCAAATATCGCATTAAATCTAAATAAGCCCCATTACCATTATGAGTTTTATCTAAATCTTCAAAAAATTCTTGAAGACTCAGAATTGAACCTGAACTTGATGTAACTATAGGTGACGATTGTAATTGTAATGCTTGGATATTAAATTTAATAGCACTAGTTATACCAAAGATCGGATACAAAGGTGGTGTTTCAATAGTAGTAAGTTTGTTTTTCTACAAATAAGAATATTTATTATATTTTACACATATTTTTTTAAAAATTAAAAATGCCAAAAATGAATACAAAAAAATTTAGTTCTCTTAACGTTAATTCATAATAATAATACTTACTATATCCCGTGCCCACAAATGTAAGCGTGCAGGTATTAATGCAAGATGTTTATCATCTTCAATATAACAGGGCGTAGCGTGGATGTTGCATTGATATTTTGATCTAATTTCCGTGATAATATTGGCTAGTTCGATTTCATCATTACTAAGTTTAGATTCTTTGGGTACAAAACCTGTTTTTAATTTTTTAGTTATTTTTTTTGGTGTTTGTTCATCCGAATCACTAGATTCTTCAATTAATTTATATATACGTATGAATGTTTAAATTGTTATATTACTTATTATATAATACGTATAAAATCAAATGTACGTATGTACGTACATACATATATACGTATCTTAGTTTTTCTTTTTTTCTTTTTTTTTTTTATTACCAGCTAATTGTGGCACAACGTTTAGCATCATATATGTGCTTGGTGTTGCTATTTTTTTT